TGTAAATAAATAAAAAATGTTGGCAATGTGAACGCCGTTATCCTAATATTTGGAATGCCTAAACAAATCAAGTATGCCAACAATCAAATTCAACCTAGTAGGAACCGGCCCATTGCGGAACGTGGCTACGGAAGGACCAGGAAGAGCGGTGGGGTCGGGTGCAGGAAATGTGGTGCGGGGCGTGGGCTCGAAATCAGTGCACCTCATAACTGATTTGCCCACGTACGTTACACGAACTTGTTTTTCTTGTTGTTTTCACATTGCTCATAGAACTGGAAACAACTTGGAAGGTTCAATACGGACTTTTTACCCTTGTTAGAGTGGGAAGTATTCTAATATAGGACGGAACGTGGCTAGCGGAAGACCAGGAAGAGAGGGAGGACCGGGCGTGCAGAACGTTGGTGCGGCAATGGGCTCGAAATTCAGTGCAGCGAGGGCAGAGGGAGGAGGAGGGGGCCCAGTTGTTGGACGCAGTGCGGGTTCCGCAGAGCGTGGGCGGGGCGTTGGATGGGCCACAGGGGATGAGCGCGAGGTGGGGTGTGGAGGGCGGGCTTGTGGAGCGGGGAGCGAAGACAGATAGCGACAAATGGCACCGGGGGAGCGCCTGAGGGGTGTTGGGGATCGTGGGCGGACGCCGAACCAGAGGGCCGGCGAAAGGGTTTGCCTCGAGTGAACTGAGTGGGGCGAGGAAAGTCGGCAGGCGGCGAGCTGTCGAAGAAAATGAGTTTTGCGGCGTTTATACATGATCTAAATAAAGGAGTTTAATGTCAATGTGTGTATATTTTGTCTCAGTTTGCTGTGAGTTCGGTTTGGACGCAGGATCTATTGGTTTATGGACAAAGTTATTAACGAATCTTATAAACCACGAAGTATTTACAATTTTTAGTATATTTTTAATTAAGTCCGTATGAATAAATTATTTTTTGTATTTCCTTGAGCTGGTCAGGCAATTAGTTCTCTCCTCGCGGTAAAAAAACAACTTAGTGATAGGGTCAGGAATAGGCGTGGTAACTGGGCTGCAATCACAGTCAAGAAGCACGAGGAACAGAGATGAAGAAAATGTGGTGCGAGGGTGACTGTACAGGCAAGATTTGTTGGGCTCAAAATGCAAACTGGAATCGTCAAATAATCATTCTAGAAAGTTTTTGTGTTCAGCAAATTTATTCCGTCAGCAAATAAGGGATAATATCCAAAACCGCTGCAGGCTGTTTGCCTTTTCAAATAGTTTTTATTATAGAGAAGCGAATATTTTTCTTATCATCTCCTTGCCCCAAAACGCTCTTTGTATCTAAATTTAGTATCCCAATTTACGAATGACATTTAGGATGAGATCTAGAAAACGATCACTTATTGACTTCCTCCGATAGTACGTCCACAGCAGGGTTTTAACCCGCTTTTTGAAATGTTACAATAAATAGAGGGCTGGACGCCGAGTAGGCCCGGGAAACGTGGCAAGCCGACGGGTCTCGAGGGCAGAGCGTGGAGCAATGCGGGCGAGGGGAGGGAGGCGAGGCAAGACTCAGAGGCGGGCGTAGTGTGAACTGTGGTGTGGGAAAGAAATGCTGCGCGAGAAGTTATGGCGTTAGATTGCGCACGGGGAGCCCATGAAAGGAGATAGCAGGCAAAGGGGTCGCATAGCGGCACCGGGTGGGGGTCACGTTGAGAGGCAACGAAGGAGATCTGGGAGAGAAGGAAAAGATGACACCAACACCCCGGGGGCGAGGGCGAGGCTGAGAAAGAATGGAGGAATGGGGAACCGAGAGCCGGGGGCACAATACACGAGAGTAAGCAATGCGGACGGGATGGAGCTGGCAGGTAAAGTCATTGGCAGAACACAGCTGTCGGCTGCTAACTTGGGCTCGGTGGAGAGCTTGGGGACTTTGGGTCGGGCTGAGAACTTGGGGGGGCACCAGTGGGCGGAGCTCCCGGTACTGGCGGCGAGTAGAGGGTCTGGAGCGTGATGGCGTGAATGACCGATTGCCTCACAGCCAGGGGGTGTTGACGCTCGGGGGGGGGGCGGCATCGTGAGAGCGTGCCGTTGCCGTCGCTGAGGCTGCTGCCCAGCCCGCCTGAGGACGAGGAGGCAGGGCGTAAATCTCTGGGATATGGGCGAATGCATGCTCGAGGGCTGAACTCGAAGGCGCTTATCTCGGGAGCCAGCGTTTCGTAGTCGTGGCGGAATGGACGCTTGAGGTGTGGTGCAGACTATATCTGGTATGTGTTCATGCGGGGCGAGGTATGGGACGTGGGCGAAAGGGGGAAAACTCAAAATGCGCCAACAGGGTCCGATCTGGGGGGGTGCCGCTGGATCGTAAAGCTCTTGGGCGTGGCGGGGAGAGCTTGGGAGCGGACCGTGACACCCCAGGGTGTGTGACGCGGAGGGGGGCGCAGTCGTGATATAGCGTGCCGTTGCCCGTCGCAGAGCTGCTGCCGCCTCGCCCGCCGAGGACCGTGGAGGCGGAGCCGCTGCGGAGGACTCCGCTCAACGTGTCGTGGGCAGGTGCCGCGCGCCGCCGGCCCCGCCATCACCTAGCTACGTGGTGAACCGTGACGCTGCTGCGCATCTTCGACGAGGACGACGAAGGAGCCCGAGTGCCTGGAGGACGGGCCGCGCAACGGCGGTCTTAGCGTCGGCGCCGGTGACCCGGACCCGGAGCAGGAGGAAGGAGGAGGAGGAAGGGGGCGGGAAGGATGGCGAGGCGACGGCGAGATGGAACGGCGAGGGCACGCCTCCTCCCTGCCACTGAAAGCGCCGTCGAGGTTGCAGATCACCCACAACCTCACTGTGAGTACAGTACTATGTGATGGTCAAAGTACTATTATCGCGTTTATTGAAACTGATTTCCGAACAACATTACCCTTGACGTATTTTTGGCACTTATAATTTTGTACGAATATTTACACATTTCTGTGAAATATTTTTAGAAGTAATGTCTATATATTTTATGCATGCGTGGTATGGGTGTGCAGTCTAACGCAGTCAAGCTGAACAATAAAGACAAATCATCTATAATGTCTTTGCCAGTTAAGTCCCCCTGTGCAAACGCCAGTGCAGATGATTACCTACCAAATCAGGGCCCGGTGTTCGAAATGTCACGTGTGTAACTTAGTTATAGCGGTATTTCCCACCCAATGTTCGTTGGCGAAAAATTATAACTTTGACCCTCTTCACGAGCTTAGAAGTTTGCTACATTTATTACGACACCCTTTGGATTGAAACAATCTTTCCTCTGTGTCCCCGTGCGCCGCAGTCCGGGCACGTACACGCAGCACATCGTGAACCGACCCTGGCAAGCCCGTACGCCATTACGAGTGCGCGTGGTGGCGCGAACCTTGCACGGGGAGAGCCTGCGTCGTTTGCCGTGCGCACCACCACGCTGGCGCCCGCCGCCTCCGCCGCCGGCGCCGCCACCGCCGCCGGCGACGCCGCGCGCTGCCCCGCGCCGCTGCCCGACGTGCGCCTAGTGCGTCTTCGGCGTAGTCCGAAGTGCGGCCATGAGCGACGCACGCACACCCGCCAACCGTGACGTTGCCGTACGAGCTCTCCTATGTCACACTTGCTGACTGGCTAGTTGGCTAACTTCGATCTCTCTGAGTCATATGGTATATATTTGGTATGGACTTATCGGCTATGGTATTGTTGTGGTCTCTTAATGCACCTTGTGGGAATGTCACTTGTCATTCCCGTATGAGACTGTGTCTGGATCACGGGGCTAGACACTAATATTCGTTAGATGGTGAGGACACACAGAACGTATAGTAATAACTCAGTTTGTGATTTTATATAGGAGTTATATATATACGTAATATATTGACTATAAAAACCAATGTAGATACTATTATAAATCAAAATATATCAATTAAAAACTAAAAACAAATGTATTACGAATCACACACGAAATATTAACTTAATAATACTACCTGTACCGACACGCGTGAGGGTTTGGACCGTACTTTGCAGTGAGAGTTTCATTACTCCTCTCAGAGAGATAATCTTTGATAGCTTTTGACACGTCTGAGCTGCCGTTCCTCCACTTTAGAAAAATGTTGACAGTGTATAAATGCGAATGCTGTAGTTTTAGAACTAATCTATGTCAAAAAATGTTTCTGATTTATGCAATTATAAATTAAGGAACATTTTTTAACGTACGTACCGTTTATTTTGAAAATGTTGAAGATCATTTCTAATGGTCCGCTAAAAAGTAATGTTATTTGACAAATGAAAAAGATAAAGAAATTTTTCTGATATGGTCCACACGTGAGTCTTTATTAAATATGTAACATGTTTTTTATCTCTGCAGTCATATCCGAACGTCGTAAAATTATAATAATATTGTATTGTTAATAATCAATAGGTGATATCGTCACAACGCAAAGAAGTTTAAAAGTTGCCTCATCCGGAAATGGGAAGTTTCCTAAGTAAAATGAATCCAAAACTTAAAATTCTTTGCCAAGGAGGGTCTCAAACTCCACGAGCTGCGGCAATTAGGTCCGCTTAAAACTTGACTCCTTGGTTGTTTCGGGTTAGAAAATGTTAATATAAGGGATCTGTGTTTAATTTTTCTTTCTCAACTATATATATTCATATTATATACTATAACCGCAACCTATAATCTCAGGGTTCTTCGAAATTATGGATTTTTTGGTCTGAATATTTTGGCATCCGTCATGTAACAACATATATCTGAGTTTAAACGATAAAGTGGTTCGACAAATTCATAGGTGAGGTAAAGAATGAAAACAATAACAAAATTTCGTCTTTATAGATTTCTGGAAGCTTATTTACGAGTCAAAATTCATAAACTTTCTTTTAAATTTCAGACCGCGCACACGTCGATGCTTTTTGAAGTTTCTCCGACGATTGAACGATATTTTGATGATTCTTTGTTTTGGCTTACTGTTTCTATAAAATGTAGTTATTTGCATCCGAAATTTTGTAAACATTTTTTTATGTTTTTTGGCATCATTAATGCCGACGCGTTCTCAGGAATATGGAACTCACAATCATCATTACATTGAATAAACAAATTAATCGTTCGAAAAACCAACTGCTCTCAATGATATTCTCTAACAGCGTTTGGGCTTAATTTTTTTATGTGCAGTGAATTTTTTTCATATCTTAAGTTAATAAAACTTTTCTGAACTTACAAAAACCTGGAATTTTGACCAATATCCTTACTCTTCATACTTACACCTACATTCACTACCACCAGATCGGGTGACCAAATCGGAAGCGTAAAGCTTCTTCCTGGGAAGAGCACCGCATCGTCCGTGATATAAAGTTTTCTACGCTTACGTGACCAATGATCACAGTAATTGTTCGCGAAGGGGTGGGAATAACCACTGATTGCGCGGGCGGTCGGTGCAGGTGCCTGGCAAGCGGTGGTGAGCCGGCGGCGGTGGGGCGGCGCTGGGCAAGTGCCCGCCTGATGGTGTTGCGCGCCGTGGGCCGGCCGAGACGTTCGCCTGCCTGGCCAACGGCGTCGACCACTCGCCCTGCTGCGCGGCGCCGCGCCTCCCGCACCCCGTGCTCGACCTGTGCGCCGGCAACCTCAGGCAGATCGACTTCTTCCTACTCAGGTGAGCCTGCCGGGCGACGCGCTCGCCCCGTGCCGGCCCACAGCGCCCCACGCCCGCGCTGCAACGGGGTGGCAGCGCCGGTGATCGTGAGAAATCGTGAGGCCATCACCCCCACCCACTCACATTTCCCCTTGTTTAGCCCGCCGTAGATATCAGCTTTCTCATACCACCTGGTGTGCGACGTGTCTTCAACACAACATCCATCTCACTAACCGCCGTTCGCAACCGCTAACGATACTTTGTGGTCTTCACGTCTGCTCCTCATTTGACCTCGAAACCGTTCCTGCCGACATTCGACTTATACCTCACCTGACAAGCGACCCGAAAATCGAACTGACGGCTGACCACTCGCGCCGACCCCGACTCTGGTTTCTGGCACTCGACTCGAATATCGACCCGACAGACCCGATAGTCGACTAAATTTAACACTCGACCCGACCCAAGCCATCCGACCTCAACCCGCCCTTCTAACCGCAGTTGACCCGACCGTGACACTCGAGCCCGACGCACTCGACCGACACTCGATTTGACACTCGACCCGAACTCACCCGACACTCGTTCCGACCCCGACACTCGGCCCTACCCGTCCAACATCCGCACGTTTCATCGCACGTCGACCTGACATCGGATGCCACCCGACACTCGACCCCGACCTGACTAACCGTGCTCGATTGTCATATCATTCACTTAACGAGAAATACAACACCTAGTACTTCATCCAACATCGAATTTTCGTACCAGTCTACCTCTATTGTTAAAAATTTTGAAACTCTAAAAGGACGTTCCTTGTGAAAGATTACCGTTAGGATTAACCTGACCTGAGACTCGTAGGAAAGCATGGCGTCCGGAGAAAGAACAGAACTGCGGGGCTGGTAAAAGAGGCATAGGCAGATGCGAAGGAAAGCACGTGTATGGGCAAGGTGTATGTTATGCGCTGCATATGTCAGAGGAAACATTGCGAAGTTTGTTGTAATTTGTCTAAAACGTGCTTTGGGGACTCTGCGCAGTTTGGGGCCCATAAAGAACCTTGCCGGCACGCATTCCCTCTTTGCTTTGTTTTGGAGCGGTAGAGTGCATTTCTAACAAGCTAACTCATAGGAGCCATTTTTGAAGGGAAAGTCTCACTGAGATCCTTTCTGTCATTCTCTTCATACAGGCATAGTGGATGATATGTTGGCCACGGAAGCAATAACTATCAATATTCTGCATAAATATTTCATTGTTTGAATAATTCTGAAATCCGTTTTAGTCTAATTTCTTCTAGAACTTTTACTTTCGGAATTTTTTCTTGGCACTTAAATGTCTAGTTAGATATTAAAACTTTTTTAAAGAAATGTCTCTCCTGATATTGTGTCGTTTATGGTTTTAGTTGTTTTTTAAATTTTGGTGTCTATCCCTTTGTTTTAAATCAACATTTTACCCCAGCTATCTTATGGCAGGAAGACATTTCATTTCACATTATGGATTAACTTTCTAAATTAATATTTATTTTTTGCTACTGATTGTTAATTTCAATGTAGAATAGATAACAAGATGTGCCTTCTGTAACTAGAGTCTGCTGCTTTTACCACAATATATGTGTGTTATCTTAGCTTGTAGAAGATCAAGAATTTCTACAAATGATGAATTCTGCAACAAAATCAAATAATTTTGTGAACTTTCAAGAAAAAATAGACATACAAAGTAATTTTTTGAGGCGAAAAGATGTCCTTGAAATTGCTTCCTGCGGTATAATCAAAAATAGAATGAGCTGAAGATCCACTGTATGTCGACCTACTATTCCGCTTATAAATAGTCATTGGTGTGTTTTATGAAATGGTTAATAGGTTTCCTTCGTACAATACTGAGTATTTTCAAATCATGATTTTGTCTTTGAGCTAATAACCGTTCCAGTTTCGACAGTTAAGAGATCTTACAAGCACACGTGTTCTTCTGCTTGACCCTTCCTCTGCAATACAATTTAACGACAAAGCTAGCAGAATTAAAAAATGTGGAAATAAAAAAGTATTTCCTGTCTCAACAAAATATTCTTCGTGACAACCTTGCTACAAGTTTTGACGTCGAAGTTTTCTTCTTTGCAGCGTGTTTCCACAGAGCCCTTGAACTGCGCATTGCTTTGCATATTCATGGCACAAAAGAATAATGACGGGCAGATAATACTCAGCCGCAATGTATGTAGAAGAGAAAGAAATGGTATAATATTCGCGTTTTTTTTTCTCTTCAAAAGACGAAGAAACAAACCATGTATCTGTGAAATATCGTTCTCCTGAATTAATTAAGTCTAGTGTACCAACGTTTGAAAGAGCATTGCAAAATGACTCTGAAAAATAAAATGTGAAATTAAATTCCCCGCAAAGTAGGTCAGGCGAGCGCGTGCATTCGTTCCATATTATATTCAAAGAAATCAAATTTAATTTTCAAATAAGCGTTAATTACTAAGAAATCAAATACTAGCTGCCATAAAATAAAACTGTACGCGAACCGACCCACAATTAAATGCAAAGGGCTGTATTTGTCATTCATTTACGATAAATACTTATTGGATGTTTCTGTAGAAATGAAATCCATTATTTTAACGTATATTTCTTTACTTAAACAGATTTATCTCGTGTGCAGAATGTGTAACGTTTGAAATGTAATAGTGTGTATTTATTTCAACCACTAATCAATTTGGCGTTGCCAAGAAGCAGTTATAGGTAATAAAAATAATTTAATTAACTCCTTCTGAAATTTCGTTAAAAATAACGACAATCTGAACTTGTGGAGAAGTAACCTACCGAATCGCTAATTAAGAATATCTTGCACGCCAAAACCGAAACCACAATCTATAGGCTCTATCCCTTAGAGCTATCATGGGGCCCCATCAACCGACCTCACTGATTGGCCAATCCTACAACGACGCGCCGCGCCACGCGGCATGGCGTAACGGTTAGCGTACTGGACCTGTTGTAACCAAGTTGGCGGTTCAAACCCGATCGAAGCGTTGATTTTTAAGGGTGAAAAAATCCTTCGTACGCCCTTCCTTCGGAGGGAAGTAAAAAGTCAGGCTGTCCATGTTGGTAGAATTTACTTGCATGTAAAGATCCTCAAGCCCCTAAAAAATGAAACCTTCCTCTGAGCTAAATTCAAATCGCCTGTTTTCGCCCAAGAAAGTACTTCCTCCTCTGCTAGTTGGTGAAAGGAACTTAGCGAAATGTGCGAGGTCAGACGCAAGAGCGGCCTGATGGCCCGTGACACCACGTAAAATAAGGCATTCAATTGCATTAAATTCATTCGTGAGGAGCGGAGCGCGCAGCGTTGATCCCGCTTAGGCGGGAGGGAAGTAAAGCCTGCTTGTCGCTTATGTTTAGTGATTTTCTTGCATGTAAAGATGCCTCAAACTAATGACGTCTCTGAGCTGAATTCAAATCGCGTTTCTGGCCAAGAAATACCTCCTTTCTCTGCTAGTTGGTGAAAGGGGCGTAGCTAAATTTGCGTGGTCAGCACCGCCAAGAGCGGGCCTAATGGCCCGAGACTCTCCACGTAAAAATAAGGCTTCAATTCAATTCAACATCAATGCAAAATTCCATTCCATTCATATTCAATCTGTGGTGTGACTGGCAGCTGCCTCAAGCACATGACGTCGTACACGAGCTGCCTGCCTGCAAGGGTACGCGTGCTGGCGTCGGCGCCGCGGCGCGTGCCGTGTCACCGTGTGGAACACGACGTTCGCCCTGGTGCACTGGCGCCGCTCGGCGGCGCTGCCGAGTCGTGCGCGAGTACGCGGTGCGGTGGCGGCCGCTCGCCCACCTACGCCAACGAGTCCGCGCGGGGCGGCGCGACGCCAGCCCTTCGTGGCTGGAGGGGCTTGGCGGCCGGGCGCCCGACTACGAGGTGTCGTGGAGGCCGTCAACGCGCAGGGCCCGGCGCGCCCTCCGCGCCGCATCCGTCTTCCGCACCGGAGTCCCGAAGGTACGCCACCGGCCACCGCCTTCTCGACCCATCCTTCAAGCTGACCTACTCTAACTTATTTTCTTATTTGTATGTATGGCTTGTTTCTATATGTATTTGTGGCGTCTTTTGCCGGGCAATAATTCGTAAGCGGGGGTAAAACACAGAACCGTAACGGTTTGTGATTATTGAGTTTTATTCGAAATATGCTCCAACACCTGAGTACTTATTTACAATAATTACAATAAACAAGATCGACCCTTACTAGAATGGGGGACGGAATGTTCCCTGTTCACCCCCAACCGCTGCCGTTATTATTATTATTATTATTATTATTATTATTATTATTATTATTATTATTATTATTATTATCCATTTTATTATTAGCAGCATTCGGTAACTTAGCCACAAGTAGATATCGGCTGTTTGGTAGTCGTATTTCTGGCTTCCGAACAACAGAAAATTACTATATTGTAAGCTGCTAATCATATTCAAGTCAACCATACAAAAATACGAGCAACGACGCCGCCTCTTATTCCCCCGACAGGTGTGTGAGGTTGCGCGCGAGCCGCCTGCCGCCGGGCCTCCACGCACCGACGCCCTGGGCGATGCAGGCCAGCGTGGGCTCGGTGTAGGCGGCGCAGGAGAAGTGCGTCTTGATGTTGTCGGTGATGACGGTGTACTCGCCGCGGCACACGTCCTGGCAGATATCCGGCACGCGCTGCTTGGCGCAGCACGGCACGTGGTTGCGCCCGTCTGCGGACACGAGAGAGCGCGCGCGTCACGGTTCGTTGCTACAGCATGGGGCACAGGACGCACATTAAGCAGCGAAAAACATTTTCGTCCAGCCTTTATTCATATCTAAAATAATTAATAATATTTTTAAACATAAATGAGAGTGATTTAAGTCTATGTATTTTTATTGTTTTTACCCTAAAGATGAAATTTTCATTGAAACGTTGCACTAAGAGCACTAAAATGCACAGTAATACATTGTTTAAATTTCTGTACTGTATGTGATTTTCATATTCCTTGAGCAATTGTTGACTTTGAATCCTTGCCGCTAAAATAAAAAAGGGGCCTGTCGTAATGAAGTGGCCAAATATATATGGTATAAGAGGTATTTTGAGTTTCAAAGCCGGCTAAGTAAAGAAATCAAGGATTACCAGAAAGAATATATTTCTATGAACTTCACCAACATATGGTCGCGTAAAAATGTAATTGTTTGCAAATAACTATTTAAAACGGGTGAATTAAGATAGTTTTTCAGTTTCAAAACCAGGAAACTCCACCATTCATAGCTCCAACAATTCAATTCGATTCATTTTCTACAGAAGTTTTACTTCGAACTTTTCAATGATCACAGTAAACAGTAATTAACCGCAAATAATGAACTCATTTGCACACTTTTCGGAAAAAAGTAAGAGTAAGAACGTCGTACATTGAACGGTTGAGATTCACAAAGCAGTCAAATCTCCAAGTTTCACATCCGACTATGCTCTTTTTTTATTACCTAACAAATTGGCTGTCATAACTCCTCAGTTTCAGAATCAGAAAGAACGAAACATTTTTTTCTTTTTTTATAGATGAAAAATTAAACACAACTACACGTATTGTTCATATCAAATGTTATTAACATGAACACTCCCGAGCACATGGAACTCGGGTAAGAATTATTAGTAGATTTTTTTAAAGACTGCAACGTTTTCGAATTCTTGTCCGCCAAGCGGCTGGCGTGACGTGGACGGCCCCCTCACCGGCCATGCAGGCGACGATGGCCGGGAAGTCGGCCTCGCAGCGCTCGGGGTCGGTGCCGGTGTTGCCGTCCAGGATGCTCTGGATGTCGCAGAAGCCGAAGCAGCTCTGCGACACGTTGCGCTGCGCGCAGCACGTGGTGTAGTTGTGGCGGCGCGGGGCCTCCCGCTCGCCGCCGAAGGGCGCCGGCGCCGACCCGTTCTCGGGCGGAGGTTGCAGCGCGCGGGACAGCACTACGCACGCAAACCATTGGGGCGTTGTCAGCGGGACAGCGATTTCAGAGCGTTGGAAGTATTGGAAGGATGGGTCGGGAGGGAGCGTCGGGAGGGAGCGTTGGGAGGGAGCGTCGGGAGGGAGCGTCGGGAGGGAGCGTCGGGAGGGAGCGTCGGGAGGGAGCGTCGGGAGGGAGCGTCGGGAGAGGGCGTCGAAAGGGAGCTTTGAAAAGGGAACGTTGAGAAGGGAACGTTGGAAGGGAGCGTTGGAAAGTTGAGAAGGGGCGCTGAGAGGGAGCGCTGGACAAACGCGCTGGGGTCGAGCGTTCGGAAGGAGAGTTGAGGGAGGAGCAATGCAAAGGAGCGGAGATGATACACGACGCGGACGGCAGGGGCGCTGGGCGGCGTGTTAGTTGTTGGGGTTGGCTGAGGGACGTGGGCAGCAGACGCTGGAAGGCGCGGGGGCGTGGCGTCGCCCGAGTGCTTACCGCTGAGCTTGTGGAAGGAGCGCACCACGGGGTTGCTGTTCACCTCACACACGTAGATGCCCGCGTCCGAGGGCTTCGCCTCCTTCACCACCAGCACCCACACGTCACCACCTGCAACGCGAAACGTCTCACTCTTGTGGTCTACGCCACGCTTCGTGCGAGTCGCGCCGTCCCCCAAAAGAGCTCTGCCCATCGTCAGAAGTAAAGGAAGTGATGTTCAGGAGAGTACGTAAAGAAACTCAAAAGAGGAGAAAGACAGAAAAATGTAAAAAAAATCCGGAATGCGAGACACGTGAGCTATATGTTCAGCCCAAATTATTTGCAGAACATTGAAAAGAAAGCAAGATAGATGGCGAATATCCATGAAGGAAAATAAAGATTGAATTATGTGATGAGGTGAGAAATGCAAGTAACTAATTGCTGTGTACACAGGATTATGTCAGAGGAGTCGGCCCACGAGGCTCACAGTGGCCAACAAACAGGAGGGGCGGCCCACTGAGGTCACAGGTAGCACAACGTCCAACATGGCACAACGTTGGGTGGGTAGTTCCGAGAGACGCCACGAGAAGCGTGTCGAGCGGCGGCGTCCCCGTCCGGGCACCGGACCGTTGAGAATCGCAGCCACCAGAAAGCACCACTGTAGAGGGCCAATCGGCGGGAAACACTCGCGCAGAGGACTCGGGGAAGGTAGTGCACATGATGTCCTGGGAGGAAACGTCAAAACTTCGAAAATAAGCCCTTAAGACAATTTTAAGCATATTTTGTCTAATAACCTCATTGGATATTCCGAATGGCTGCGCCGCAATAAGCAGTCAAAAGTTGAAAAAATACCTTCTATACAAAAATTTTAATAGCAGAAACATGTAAATACTCCAGGAATATTTAAATTGTTTATTATTGACAAAAGAAATGAATATATTTTTTCAAATGAAAAATTAACACAAATAAAAAAAGCAGTCGTATTGTGTAAATTTGGTGCAATACGAAATTATTTTCCTATTTCTGTTATTAATTTTACTAGAAGACTCTTTCATCATATGTGTCACATAATGTGAAGATAATAATGTGCGAAGTATTCTCTCAAAAAATCATTTTGTAGCTAGCGGATTGAAAGGAGCAGTTTTGCAACGTCCATCTTGCTCTACTTGGAAACCTGGAAGTTTAGAATCCCCATCATAGATAATTACTTATAGCATAACTTTTAATTTACGATCCCAAATGCAACTATTCATCTAGTTCACGTGTGAAAACGAGTTTTTTCTTTTAACCCTTATTTTTTTCCAGAGAGGGCTGAGCTCTTTACGACTCTTGGCGTAAATGTCACCCGTCCAATACATTAAATTCACTGCACCGGCCTGAAATGCACTCGTTTTCATGATGCGATTCACATAACTGTAGCTGCATCAAAAGTGAAATACAACCTGTATCACGCAAGTAATACTTCGACGACTTTGAAAAGGTGAGGCTTCCGTAATAAAAGCTACTACATCTGCAAAGAACTTTGCGTCAATAATAAAGTCCTAAATGTACCGTCCCGATTCAGCGTCTTACTCGAAACGTCAACAAGGGCGTGATTTTGAGGTTAAGAAGGCTTCATAAAAAGCAAAAGCGTTGCCATCACGGAAAAGTAGTGAATATGTATTTACAAATTGATATATTCTGAAATATCGTCTTATAGAACAACTATTATATTTATTTTTTAGGATCATCATTTTGAAACGACATTTTAACGTTACAGAAGTGTAAGAGACTTTCAAGAATGAAAAATTGATGAACCAAGGTAGTTGTGGAGCATTATTCTAGCCAGAAATTATTTAGAACAAAAAGTTATGTTCCAAACGTCCTTGTCAATTTTCATCCTGTGTGAAAGCTGTCTTGTCAAAACCACAACTTAGGTATTCGTAAAGATATTTAAATTAACAACATATAACTCTTAATACTCGTCACGTAAGTTCATACACCGAACTCAACTGTTTTATGATCGACTCAATTACTAGTATATACTGGCATTCAAACACAGACACACGGTACATAGAGTAACAACAAACATGAAATGAAGTACAGAGCAATGAGTTTGCGGTTCAAGCACAGAAAACATAACATACAGCACACTGATGACACCATGATTCTTAAGTTTTACCCCAAACATGCAATAAATCTTGTTACATGCATTGTATTATACCAATGAAAAGAAAACGGAAAATATAGGATAGAGTCTTGCGGGAACAGGTATTTTATAGTAACTCGGAATGCCGCTTTGATAATTTTATTCAATCGTATTATTTTTACATTTGAAAGATACGAGTATTTTAATCTCACTTTATAAGCTTATTTGAACATACGAGTTTCCTAATTCTTCAGCAGGGACGCAGAGATCGTTGAGAGACCTGATAGGTTTTTATTTTCAGATATTTACTTTCTCGCCCTACTACGTACTTAAAAAGTAAATAGAAATTATTGTATTGTTGAAGCGGAAAGTGTCGATTTAACGTCAAAAAAATCGTATTGTGGGGCCCTGATACCAAAAAAGTACGTAAACCTTGCCCCTACTAGTACAAAATTACTTCCTCTAACACATTGTGTGATCAGAACCCACGTTTTTTGAGCATTAAAATACAGAAATATTGGTTTACTGAAAAATAATCTGTTTTTTTCGTAGTAAAATTTCGTTTTTCGTAGCTGTTGCCTAAACCGTAGAAACGAACAAGAAAGACGCCTAACAGAGCAACGAACGCCTAAAAAATGGCGCACACCTCCTTCTTGGTTAAACTCCCTGAATTTTCGAAAATTGCAAAAATTGCAAATAATCCGAGAAAATATGTTTTTTTGTTGCCCTTCTATTTTCATTAAGATGTGCTATATAATATAAAACATGGGCAAATGCGGCTTACGTCGTTTATTAATTCATTCCGAGTTCCCTTAGCACAGGAGAGCGTCGGCTGGCTTTCGCCAGGGGCTCTCATCACCCACCGCGGCGAGCGCCAGCTGCGGCGCGGATGCTAGAGCAGGTGGCGGGAGCAGGGGCGCGTGGCGTGAGGGGGCGGTGGGGGGGTTACTTGCCTGAGCTGATCTCTCTCTCGGGGGGCACATTGAGAGGCGGCAGCGAACGGCAGGCCGCGGCAAACACAGAACAAACGGGAAGAGGTTAGTCCAACCCCCAGGCCGCAGCACACAAAACAGCGCCAAAGACCCACACACGCTAACATATACAGACAGCCATGCCCGCGGAGACGTGGGAAAGACAGGCGCGAGTGTCGCAAGGCGGAGCGGGCGGCAGTGCGGGCGGGGGCGGGGCGGGGCGGGAGCGGGCGGGGGGCAGCGGGAGGGGAGGGGCGGGGCGGGGGGGGTAGGGCAGGGGCGGGGCGCGGGTGGCGGCAGCAAGGAGGCGGGGGGCGGGGGGGGGGAGTGGGCGGAGTGGCGTGGCTGCGCGTAGTAAAATTGCGGCGCATTCGGAGCGAGCAAGAGGCAGGCCGGAGGCGGTGCGCGCGAGTGGAGCGGGGCTACGCCGAGCAGCCCCCTCTCCGGATGAGCAGCCCTCGTCCAAGCGGGAAACGAGGGTCGCAATAGATCCGGAAATATGGAAAGCGAGTGATGTGGAATGGAATGGAGTGGATGTGAAAAGTGATATGACGTCGACAGAATGAAGTCGGTAGTGGAAAGTCGAAGAACGGTTTTGGAATGAAAGCAGAAGGAAGTAAAAAAACACTGGAATCTAGTCGCGTGGGCTGAAGTTGAATACAGTGTTTGGTTGAGTGGAGAGAAGTTGAGAGAAATGAAGGAAAGTGAAGTGGCATAGAATAAACTCAAGTGAAGCGAAGTGAACGAGACAAAAGTAGAGTCAAGTGAAAAAATGGGAAGTGGTTTGAAGTTGAGACATGTGAAGAAGTGACGCGTGTCTTGACTTAATTTCACCTTCCACTACATGTTTGTCTCCCATGTTGTTAGTCTCGTGAAATTGAATGAATTGACTAGGTTGAGCCACCTTTTTTAAATCCAGATGTGCATTATATTTGTTGTTCTGAATGAGGATCTTTGGAATCTAGATTAATGCAGGTCAGTAGATGCAACCCTTTATCCCTCCAGAGGGGGAAATAGTTTCCTGTCTCTGTAAAGAAAATGCACACAACTTCATCCGAAGTATATGCGTTTCTGGTCCTATGGAAAAATCTTACAACAATATACCATTCAAAAATATTGCAAATATTATTCACGTACACTCAGCTTTTTTCATAAGGACAAATAAGATTTTTACAGGTTTTATTATTTGATATCCTCAACGAACTTTAACCGTCAGTAATATTATAATCAACTGAGATAAGAATACGTAAAGTGCTTATTTCCACACCATTTAAAAACATTACATTCAGTGATATGCTCAGACATTGCCTTTATCTGACGATGCCACAAGCCACTACGCAAAAGTGCTTTCCTGTATCGTTGTAGCGTAGTGAAAACTAAAACTGAATATGTAATAATTACAACACGCTCATCATATGAGAAAAGAATCGTAGACATTATAGATAGTACTCGCTA